TATATATATATATATTACATTATACTCCTTTTATTCTATTTTATTTATTTCAGCGTGGAGAAAATTGGGGATGCGGAACGCTACCAGAGCTGCTTCTTCAACAGTGGACACATTGGTGCGAACTTACAATCAAGTAGCACCAACAAATCCAATATCAAAAATGTCAGTCGATAATTTTACTTATTTTTTTTTTAACTTGAGATTTTTTCTCTATTATTTTGGAGAAAAATTTGATTACGTAAGACGTACGCAGCGCTGCGTACATAATAAACGTTATATTCACGTTATATATGCATTATATTCTTATTTTATCGCCAGTAAACTTCATGTAACCTCCATATAAACTAGCTGTAACTTAACTGAACTTACAAATAAGTTTCGCGCTTCTATTTTCACATATTTGTAGGTTACATGGAAGTTACACAGAGGTTACATGGGATATAACACTAATATAATGCCGATATAATGCAAATATAACATCTATTATGTATGCAGCGCTGCGTACGTCTTACGTGCGCAAATTTTTTCCGTTATTCTAAGTAAGAAATGGTATTTTCTTGTATTGTTGTAAGCGCAGTGGTTCGCCTCTTCTTTGGATAGCAGTTGGAGTTGGTTTATCAGCATGGTTCTCTGTGGTCAAGTTTCTATACTCCATTTTCATTTAATTTTTTTATTATTTTCTTATTATGTGAATTGATTAATTTTTATGTGAATTTTTTTTTGGTAACATTTTGTCTATTAAATGTGGCAGATGGCAACAAAATTTAAGGTGAGTTTGGCTATTATTTTCTTGAATATGAAATTAGGGGGGGTTAGATGAAGAAATCTCTAAACAATTTCACTAATATACAACTGTTTTATTGCTTGCCACACAAGTCCTATGAATTTACATATCTAATCCTTAATTTTTTATTTTTTTCATTTATAACATTGAAAGACTATCTTATTGCATCAAAGGTATTGCTATTACTGTCTTTTTAAAAGTGAAATAATGCACTTTTTGATCAATAGGTGAAGTGGGATTAATATAAATATTAAAGTTTAGGTGTTTGATATTATAAATACATCTAAATGCTCCTATTTTTAATTTTATTATTTATATATATATGTTGGCCTGAAGCCATTACACATAGTATATATATATATTCTAAGGCTATCCTAAAGAAAAAAAAAAAATGATAGACGATCATTTCAAAGTCTTTAATTTGATATAGGTGCACTCGAATCTTTAATATCACATAAGAATATTACTCTTAATTAATTTTTAAAAGTGATATACACCATTTCATCATGATGTACGACATCAAGATATTATAAATATAAATATGAAAGTTTAGGTGTTAAATATATAAATACATAAGAATTGTGAGGCATTTATGTAGATTTCCCAGCCAAAAAATTTTCAAGAAAAAAAAAAATTACATAGCTCTATCTAATTATCATAAAATGATTTAAATATGCTAAAAACTAAATCTTATGAGTATATTTCAGAGATATGCAATTAACAAAGCATTCAAAGCAGTGATGGGTGAAGAAGCAGAAGCAAATGGTCAGTTCAATACTTCAGCATTTGCATCAGGGTCCCCATTCCCATCTCTTCCTTCCCAGCCAGCTGAAGCTTCAGGTGAAATTCATATTGATGAACTGAGTGTCAATATTCCACCAGCTGATACTGTAATAAATGAAAATAAATAAATAAATAAATAAATAAATAAATATTGTTGTACCAAAATGAAAAAAGAGAGAAATTAAATTAAGGGTGCAGAGAGTTGATTTTTCTGACTTAAAAATAAGATTATGGAGGCAGTATTATTTAGTATTTGATGTTGAATGGAAGTCCAGTAAACATGTATTGTATTCAAATTTGTTTTGTTTCAGTCATTGTTATATATATATACATATATATATATATAATAAAATAATGGTTAGAAGCTATTATACGGGTTCGGTCATCTCTTATACGCCTAAGAATTCCGGCACCACACCCTACATTAAAGGAGAATCGACCCCAAGACTAAAGGAAACTTACAACTGACAAACAGATGCTTGACCAATAGATCTGAGTAAGCGGCGCATATATATAATCTATGCATCAAAAGGTGTCTTTCACATTAATTTCCTAAATTAAAACACTGATATGTTTGATGTGATATCAAAGATTTGGGTGGTATGAACATAAAAATAAAATTTGGATGAGAATTAGGGGGTATACATTTAAATGTCTCTTTTCTTGTTTATTTAATGCAGCAGAAGGCAGAAGTCAATTATATGAATAGCTGCTTTGTTTGGTTTGACTGGATAGCTTTTCACCCAGCTTTTCTCACAAATTGGCTTAAAAAAGTTATTTTTGGACATCAATATAAAAATTTGACACAAAGCAACTTTAATAAAATTCTGTCTGTAAAAGTAGAAAAGCATTAAAGCAAACCAGCTTTTAAATTATTATTATTATTATTATTTTGAAATTAAATGATGTAATTGTAGACTAAAATTGTAGTGTAATTAAAGAATGTATTCAGTTATAACTTATTGAAAGACAAATTACATATCTAACATCTAAACTTTAATTTTTACATACGTGCCCCATTATAATGATGTATTTCAAAATGTGATATGAGTGTATAAAAGCTAAATATCACAGATAAATAGTCTCACATTGGAGCAGTATTTAAGTCCTGGGCTGACCACCACCCATAAGGGGCTCTTTTGGGAGGTGACAAGTGGTATCAAAGCAGACTACTGTCTGCTAGGTGTGTGGACTCTTCATGGTCCAGTGGGACCATTGGTAGAGCCGATCCCTGACGAGAGCGTCATGTGATTGGGTGGAGAAGAATGTCATGGACAAATAGTCCCACATCGACTAGGTGTAGGGCCGAAAAGCAGTATTTAAGTCCTGGGCTGCCCACCACTCATAAGGGCTCTTTTGGGAGGTGCAGATTACTGTCTGCCAAGTGTGTGGACTCTCCAAGGTCCAGTGGGACCCTCGGTGGAGCCGATACTGTCTAAATTAGATAAAAATTACGGTAATGACGTTGTTGTGGTGTTGGTGGTAGCGCCGTAGAAGCTCGTGTTCAGATCATTGTTAAGTTATCGACCCGAAATCAAACAAAAATTTTTTAATTCGTGTTTCGCTTGCTTTGGATCAAAATATTACTCATCAATCTTATATATATATATATATATTCTAAAAATAAATATGATTATTTTAAATCCTTGAAGCCTAGCAAGTCAAATGTCTGATCAACAGGAGGGAGATATAGTCTACTAAAATTTATGTACTCCATCCCTAGACTTATGAGATGTGTGGAATGGATGTCATGTGCCTCACTAACTAAAGTTATAGCAATTGTACATATAGTTCATATGCCTTTAAATCTACTGGCGGATCTGAACATGCAGACTGTCAATTGTGGGATGCCTCATGCTACCTACATAGTCTACTAATTTGTTCTACATTTTCTCATTGAAGTAATTCAATGCTAATTATTTTTAAATTTGAAGCCATTACACATAGCTCCAATCTTTCTACATATGTTCTCTCTCTCCATCTCTTTCTCTATCTCTTTGATGTCATAGTGAGGATACTTTGATGGAGACTGAATCTTTTTCTGTTTCAGTGATTTTTGCACAAACTTTTATTCTTCTTTTAGTCAATCTAAGCAAAGTTAAGAAGCTTTTGTCCTTGCCATCGGTTGGAGAGTCATTTCATGCTCTTAATTTGGGATCAAGAATATAACCAGCAACATATTTTCTGATTGGGACACAAATCTCTTAAAAAGTTATGTGATCTTTAGTCACCAAACTTTTATTCAGTTTACTCTAATAAAGATTGAATTTTCCGTAAGTGTTTGTTTGAGGCTGCTGAAAGTGTTGAAAAGCTGTTATGCAGCAGTTGTGTGGAGGGAGCTGCTACAGGGACGCTGTGCGAGGAAGCTGGAAACTGTGTATCTGTTTGAATTATACATTTGTGATGTAGTTTTTTTTATGAAAAGAAGACATTTTTGCTTTTGTATTGTTGTGTTGTTTATAAGATAATCATTCCAAATTTAATAACACATAATTAAATATTATACCTAGAAGCAACATCTCACTCAACGATGAGCACCACAACAATCAAAATCAAAAATAAAAATATTAAAACAATAAGTAATATTATCAAAATTTTAGCTTTGAAACGTCAGCCCATAGGTATTTGACCGAGACACAAGAAGATGTTACATTTAATTAAATGCACCGACGCTACGGAAAACTAACTTGACGAATTGCATTTTCACGTTGCGCAACTAGGGAAAAACTACTCCAGTTGGGCCCTAAGATTGCATGAATCAATACCACTTCACAAATCCTATCATTGGTGATATTCTACTCACTTAATTTGTTTTTAATCATACTAAAAATACCTTATTTATTTACTTGAAAAAATCAGTTAATATCCTAAAAATTGAACTTCTATTGAAATCTCATTCAACACATTTCCTCAATTGTCATAATAGCATTATAAAACATAATGTTTCTTGTTAATTTTTGACATCATGATATACATGGTAGACATGGTCTTTCACAAGACATGCAATAATTGTCAAACCAAAAAAAACATATTTATGTGGCAAGAATTTTGTCTGTGACATTCTCATCCACCCAATTACGTGACGCCCTCGTCACGGATCGGCTCCACCGAGGGTCCCACTGGACCATGGAGAGTCCACACACCTGACAGACAGTAGTTGATACCACTTGTCACCTCCCAAAAGAGCCCATATGGGTGGTGGGCAGCCCAGGACTTAAATACTGCTTTTCGGCCCTACACCTAGTCGATGTGAGACTATTTGTCTGTGACATGTATATATAGCACTTACACTTTTTCATCTACATTTAAAAGTAGAAATTACATAAAAAGTAAAGTTGTTTCAAAATTTAGTTGTGTGATGTAAATTTTATTTGCATGCTTTAATAATTAATTATGATGTTGCATGCATGCATGCCCCTCTTTTGGAGGGGCATGCTGCCCTCTATCACAAAAAAGGGGTACTACAAGGAATGTAATGAAGAACTTATCTCATGTGCATGTCTCCAACCATCAAATGCATGGTTTGAACCATATCTGTTTAATTATTATGATGTCTATGATATTGATGAAATATTAAATTTTCTTCTTACATTTTTGGTTTATTATTATATTTTTTGCATCAACATTTATGCAAATCAAAATTATTAATTTCAAATTTTAGAAACAACTTCAATATATATATATATAACCCTTTTTAATTCTATTGCTATGGAAAGGAAGATTTGCTTACATATATAACACTCAATTCCAACGTATTTACATATATAACACCAAAACTTTAATTTTTACATACATGGCACATAAGATATATAACCACACATCAAATAATTATAAAATATGCAGTTATAAACATTAAGACACCTACAGCTGCCCCATAAATAAATGATGCGACATTATATATATAAATATATGTACATATAGATGGAATAGTACAAAGTAATTTAATATAAATTAGAGCTGATCAACATTTATTATTTAGACCTTGCCATGTGACTTGTCTCAATCCTTACGGTCGGTCGGTCATGATGTGTAATGTTTTTTGTACTAATTTGCACGCCTGCCAAGATAAATTGTTGATTAGGGGGACATAATTTTGATTGTATTATTCTTATAATCTTATATTAAAATCATTAAGGATGAATGAACTTTGTAACAAAGAGAGACTTGACACTTTGGTTATGATTGTCACTTTTTATAAAGAGATTCCAAAAGAGTTGCCGCTTTATTCAATGTTTACTAAGTGGTTGAAAGATATGCCTATGTAGACTTGTTTTCAACGTTTCATCCATACACACACACACACACACTCTCTCTCTCTCTCTCTCTCTCTCTATATATATATATATATATAGAGAGAGAGAGAGTATGGATGAAGGTGGGAAAATCATCAAATATCTTATTTTTTTAAGTATTTGGCAAAAATATATATCAAGAGTTACTAAATTGTCTAAACTACATAAAATAAATATTAAATTTTACTATTTATATAGAGATAGTTAAATTTCAGGGTGGGCAATATAAGCTGATTAGGCTTTTTTTACATTTATTTACCTTTGAGATATCACTTCATTTCTCTTTATAATTATGAGCAAGTCATCCAATTATTTATTTATTTAATTTAGATTATGTAAAAGACTAAGTTTATAGAAAATCTATGTAGATTTTTTATTTCAATATATATCAAAGGAAAAATCAAGCATAATGAATGAGCTTGAGTTATATTTTTGTGCTAATTTAAAGAAAATAATGATTTAAAAGGCATTTATTTATTACAATATTAAAAAAGAATAAATTTTTCATGTTTTAAATGGGATCAAAATTAAAATTATTTAAATATATTTGGTTACTTTATTTATTATATACAAAGCATATCATCAAGCAAATTAAATTCTATGAAATAATTGTTTCTAACTTACTGACATTTAAAATATGATCTATTTAAATAAATCTAAATAATTTAATAATTGAATGCGTTTTAAACCATTGTTGAAAAGGTTTATTTAATTTTTATTGTGCAGTATAATTAAATTATATATGATTTTCATATAAATTTATGTTTCTCTTAAATTAATGTATATTTTTAATGTTAATGATTTTTTATCTAATTTAATTAGGTAAATATACTTGTAAAGGTTTCAAAACAGAAATATGAATTTATATGCCCCATAATATTAATTTTTTGAAAATATGCTCATTGGTTATCTTTTCTGTGGAAATATAACTGCAAATTTTTT